TGAAGGAGGCAATGAAGGAGGCAATGATAATGACGATGATTTATTGAATTTTGATGATAGTATTTTCGGATTTGAATTAAATGTAATAAATTTATTGTAACAATATCAATATATAAGCTATTTGAAATAATAAATTTCCGTTTAATAAGTAATATTGCGATAACGATAAATAAAAAATTAAAAAAATTTTTTTTATATAAAATCTTATATTAAAATTTATATTACGGTTAATTTCCCATCCCTATGGGTGGCCAATACTTTTTATACCCCCCTGAACATTATTTATAAAATAAATTATTTTACTGATTTAAAAAATTTTAATATTCAATTACAATTCGTAAAATATGGGGAACACAAAAAAATTATTATTTATGTGATATTTATTTTACATTTCTATTTTACATAAATATTTCATACAACGATAACGTTAAATTACAAATCTATATCCGGTAAAACTAATTTTTTGAGTTTTATAATATTTATATAAATATTTCATATTTTGATAGGGTAGTAATTAACATATATATATGCGTGTGACATAACTCATACTCTCATTTCAAATTTACTTACTAATCCTTTTAACGCGAAACAAAAGGTAAATAGATTAATAATTAGTCTAAAATAATAATAAAAGTTTGTTTTTTTACAAAAGTAAATAAATAAAAATAAGTTTCCGACTTATATGAATTAAAAATTAGTTTCAGGACATTTAACGTCAGGTATAGGAACAGAAATTTTTGGTTTGTAAATCCAATCAATGCCCCAGATAAATAATTCAACGTCAACTCTAAGTCTCAAAGGAGGAGCATTCGGTTCAGAATCAGGAATACAAGCGGCAACAAAATCCATTATAACAGGATCATTAACATCATCAGCTTTATAATTAACTGTGAGTGGAAATTCTAATGTATTAACAGACTTTGGTTGTAAAGTGTAATCAGGTTTGGAACCAGTAGCAATAGATTTATCGTTGTTAGCCGCTCTATCAAATACCTAAAGTTCGAAAAGAAAAAAATGTTTAATAAAAACAAAATTAATGATGATTCCCGACCCCCCAAAAATATGGTTTAAAATAACCTCAACTTACCGCAACATCAATTTTATTGAATTTATATGGAACCCAATTTGCATAATTATCAATTTCAACAATTATATTAAAGCTCATATCAATGTAAGGAGGATTTGTACTGAGCGTTGGTTGTGTTACAGGTACAGCTTCTTTAACATCAACATTAGGTTTGCGAGGCCAAACAAAAAATGCAGTAATGCCCAAACCAATTAAGATCAATATAGTAAATAAGCAACAAATTGACCAAGAACAACATCCACTTTTTCGTTTTTTCTCAGGTCTAGCAAAGTCACTGGGAGTCAAAGATTGACGTGCATTTTTACCACCACCGGGGAAATCTCTATCAGTATATTCATTTTCATAATGGTTTTGGTATCCAGTAAGGGTATTATGACGGGTTGCTTCTTCATCATAATTTTGATCATCTTGACGATGATAATTATTGTATTGGGAAATAGTACCGTTATTCTGATTCTGTCCATGATAATTTTGATCTCCCGAACTACCCATATTGTATGTCTCCCTATCCACTAACGGAGTGGAAGTAAGTCTCGATTTACTTTCTCTATTTGTGTGCGTAGCGTCCGTTGCATTTGTTGTTGCCGATTGATCATGATTGGAAAGTGATGAATTTATTGAAGCAGCATCATCATAAGCATTTCTGATAGGATTAACACGAGGTGTCCCAACTGCGGTAACTAAACAACAAAAAAAAAATCAACAAATTAATCGGATAATTCCCACGGTTAAATAGATTTTAGCAAGATACAGTACCTCCACCTAATGATCCTGTTGAATAATTTCCATTATCTATCTCCGTTAAATGTCTTTGATTTAATTCTGGTACTTTATGATTGGCTGGACTGGTCGAACTGGTTGGACTGGTTGGACTTGATGGGTTATTGTAATATTGGTTTTGATGATGATGATTATTATAAGCCATTTTGTTTTATTGAAAGAACTTTTAATAATACTTGATTTACTAAATAATTTAAACGATGGTTACACGACTTTAATATTTGTTAAAAAGATTATATTTTTCATATTTTTCCCGTTTAATTTCCCTCACCTCAAAAAATCGTTATGTTTCTAACAAATGAGATAATATATATTTTCTTTTTTACGAAGGAAAAATGATTTAATTTAAAATTTTATTGGTAAAAAAAAAAAAATTATATATTTTCTTGTGGAAGAGAGAGAGAAAAAAGGATTATTTTTTTCCTACGTGGCTAAAGTGAATCGACTTGTATAAATATTCGAAATATCCGAGTACAAGGAAAAACCCTTGTTAATTTGTATTGTAACAAAAAAGTCCAAGAATGTAAAAATCATAAAGGGTGAATAGGGGACAAGCAATATAAATAATAGCGGAATTATTTTTTAAAAATAGCCCAAATGCATCACTTTTATGTATTACAAGATGTTTTAGCCTGGTAAAGGTTTGGAAACATGCCAAGAATATAGTCATTTTTGTAATTTGTTACTATAATTAGATAAATTGCATTTATATAAAAGTCCTTAAATTGAATGATCAACTCACTATTTTTTGATGATAATCATACCAAGTATTTGATATTACACAAAAGGATCGTAATGACCCGATTTGATGAATAGTAAAAAAAAATGAAATATGACGAGTTTATCACCACCAAGGTAATTTTTACAACGAATGATAAAGTTACTCCTTAACTTTATGATTATATCAAACTTCGATTTTTTTTTTTTTAAAAAAAAAAGTTACGGGATATAGCAAATTTGTATTCTATGAGAACTTAAATTAAATATTGATGTACTAATTTTCAACTTTTGATTGAGAAATCATTATTTAGTCTTATTATTGAACCGTTTGAACACGTGAAATGACCCTGATTAGGGGACCCGTGCATTAGGTTCACGTGATTAATTATAAAAAAATTACGTAATTGCATTAGTGAAACTCATACAAAAGCCAACATTCAGCCGAAACCCCCCTTTATTTATTTTGGGCAAATAGGCTTTTTAACCCGAAAATGTATATTATACACGCAAATTTTATTAAAAGGGAAAGGATGTTCTTTCATTTTAACGTCAAAACAACAAAATCTAAACAACGTCTTATGATCGGTCATGGGAAAATATATTTCGGAACATGAATAACTTGGATTATATACGTGTATTGGACAAATTAGTAAAATTTGAGAGGTTACGCATTCATAAGTTACAAAATTAGTTTATGGTCATTGATAAAATAATAGGATTGATAGGATAAACCCATGCAGATCGATTTGGTAGAGTTCCACGAATTCCGCCAAAATTTCTTGTATAAACTTTTATTGTTGATTACCAAAAACATGCAAATGCCAATTAATAAACACCTGGATTTAACCTTTTATTTCGTAATTAAATAATTATGTACATATTTACACAATTTCATTCTCATTTATACAATTTAATCTAATTTATGATAAGCTTTGTTTGAAGTTACAAGAGGTTCAACATCGGTACCAGACCTTAATTGCTGCTTTATTTTTTTAATTACACGTGAAATTCCTATAAAAAAAAAAAAAGATTTTAAATTTTTTGTCCTTTTTTTTTTTAAAAAAAAAAAAACTTTTGACTTACTTTGCTTTGAAACTTTCCCATCCCTTCGATGCAAGTCATCATTGGCATTAGTTATCACAGGAATATCTTTCATGTGTTTCCTGACATGGTTCAAAACAGAATTTTTTAATATGATCTTTGATCGCTTGGAAGGGGGGGCGACTAAGATTATATCGGGTTTGACGGATTTACAAATATTTACTAATGCTTCACGTACATCTCCTTTCGTAATAATCACATTGCTTGTAATCTATAAAACAAAATCACGTTTTGTTTTAATTTGAACGACATTTGCATATAAATCCTTCCATCGCACGTTGACACAAAGCAACTTACATTACTTCGGGTTAATTCACAGGAAATAACCTTTAACATATTATTAGCACGTTCTTGCTCATTCTTAATGTAATTCTTATATTCATCGTCCAATGTATCAAAGTTAGAATTATTTGGATAATAACCCAGGCCGAGCGTCCACATATCGGTTGTGGGGTAATATATTTTTGGCGTATTGATGACTGAAATTAAGTAAACGTGGTCCAAGTTGGGTCGAAGAATATTTGAAACTGCCCACTCATAAAGATGTTGAGAATTTGTTATTGAATTTGGATTGTAAGCTAAAAGAACTTTGCGACGATTATAATCAGCACCCAAGGGTTCCTTTTCTAACGACATGATTTGAAGGGAAGTTTATAAAAAAGATGCAATTGTATGAAACTAAAGATGAAGGAAAGATGAAGGAAAAATGTGAGAGAAAAAAAAAAGGATATTTATATCAATTTTCCGCACCCCTATAAATTAGGTTAGTACGTGAAAATTTTCTTCTACACGTGAAATTAGTTCGCGGGCTTTGATTTTTATTAGAAAACAAGAGAATGAATATGCATAACACAAACAAAAAAACAAAACGTAATAAGCCAACAACCTTAAAAGTGAATTAATTTATCTAGAAATATGAAAACAAAGAACTTTCGCGTATGTTGCATCTATTTTTAGCCGAAATCGGATTTTCAATTATTATCTATAATATATATAGAAATGCGTTTCCATACCCCGATAATTTTAGTAAACCTTGTGCGATTAATATATTTTCCCGTTAGGTAAGTGGTTGAATAAAAATAAAAATAAAATTATTTCACAATGAAAAAAATTTTTACTATATTTTTTACTATGAGCCCATGAACACTTGTAAATTTTTTTTATATGAAACAGGTAATTTTGAATTCCTGCCGAATTTTTGCTGGTTTTTCCAATATATTTTCCGTTCCAAAATTTGCGTTCATTCTTTTCGCGACATGTCCCCTCCATCTTTCGCGTTATTTCATAAATGAACGCTTTATCTTTCTTTGAATAGATTTTGAGACTCGGGTAATTCGGTGGACTTTGGCGGCGAGTATTTTTACCCTGTCACAAAACTTGAAACTATGAAATGATAGACGTTTTAAATTTCTAAATTTTTAAGAACCCGCTATTTGTAATTCGTTTTATCATAAGTAAACGGTAAATCCATTAAAGGTTGGTATTACAATTTCATTGTAATGAACTAATAGTAAGAGATCATCGAAATCGGATTAGGTAACGTAGGTAAGGTTTTTCTTTTTTCGGTTATAGCATGAAATCATGCATTAATTAAAGTTTTTTTTTTCTCGTTTACTTCCTCCCATAAAATTCAAATTTTTAAGAAACTTATTGTTAAAAAAAAAAAAATAAAATAAAATAAAAAATGCATCTTTATCATCCATTGTCACATCATTATATCCTTGTTAAAGTGTTTGGATATTTAACAAATCAAAAAGACATTTATAATTGTACGCTAGTTAACACGCAATGGAATACTTCAGCGTCGCCATTCTTATATCGTGCACCAAAATTCACTAGTCGAGAAAAATTTTCGTCTTCATTAACAAAATATTTCCAAACCATAAAGAGTGCCAAAGATGAGCAGACGTTTCAACCATATCATGAAATGCTACGTGAATGGAATCTTAAATATGCTAAATTAGCTTGTGATATAGCGGTATGTTGTCCAAATATTGAAAAACTTGGGTGTGTTGATGGAGGATTTCTTCTCGGTGATAATTTGAATAGAAAAAATTTATTAAAGGCTTGGACCAGATTGAAATCCATAACATTATATCATAATTGTGGAACAGACTTGATCCTTGAGGCCATTAAAATGAATTGCGGTCGTTTGGAAGAATTAATATTATGTAATTGTCCTGTAACTGATATTGGACTAATTGAAGTTTTCAAGACTATTAGAGGATTGAAATTATTGAGATTCAATCATTGTAATGAAATTTCAAATCAAAGTTTAATCATGATGTCGAAATATTGTAATTCGTTAGTTAGGTTGGATTTGATTAATTGTAATAGATTAAATGATAATGGAATACTAGCACTTGCAGATTCTTCTCATCTCGCGACTAAATTACGTTCGCTTTATCTTGAAGCTTTAAATATCGATGAAAATACTTTATTAATTCTAGCTAGAAATATTATGAATTTACGAGAATTATATTTGAAAACCTTATTATCCTTCGGTGATGAAGTCATTACTGCTTTTAATTGTTTGGAACAATTAACGTTACACTGTCCTAGTATTAATGGTTGGAATATCAATGAAGCCATAGGAATAAGGGAATTGTCCCTGTTTATGACAAATATTAAATTGCAAGAATTGAACGCTATTTGCAAAACTTGTCACCACCTAGAAAAGTTTACTTTGGATGTTAAACAAATCCTCGAATTTTCTTTTCCCATGAATAAGGTAAGTTTTAACCAAAAGTTTTTGGAGGATTTTAAAATTGTTCTTGCTAATTTTTTTTTTTTTTTTTTTAGGATATTATAAAAGTACTTTCACAACTAAAACATCTTAGATCGTTAGCTTTATTTTGTGGTATAATTTTTACGAATTCCGAAATTTATGAATTAAAAACGAATTGCATCAAGTTGACACAAATCAATTGTTAATTATCTTTGATAGTACTAAAGTTGAATTGTTGTTTAATTAACAATAAAAGTTGTTACTTTTCATTGACTAAATTCGCGAAACGTAATTTTAGATCATATATCTCCGAGTATAATAATGCCCATGTATCACATGATCCTGTGACTTATTGTCTGGAAATGGAAACATGACCTAATCCGTTACCGAGGTTGGAGGTACAAATTGTTCATTCCTTCATTATTATTTGTTGCACATTGAGCCCAACGACTTTCTCACGCATCGTGAGTTGACATGCAATTACTGAATTATACAATCAATTACCGAATTAATTAAATTCATTATTTTTTACCATAACGGAGATAACGAAAAATTAGATGCAATTGTAATTATTAAAAAATTTCCATATAAATTGATCCTTAAAAACTTTTCCCTGAACTTAGGTCTATTAAAAAAAAAAAAATGTTTCAAATTCATTTATCTCAATCTATAGAATCGTTTGAAGTGACATGTGAAGAACTTGATACGTTATTGCTTTCTCGTTACCCATCATCGTCAACCGATGATCTCCCATCCTCTTCCTCTTCCTCTTCCTCTTCCTCTCCCGCTTCTTTATCCTCGTCTCCAAATTCTTCATCATTTCGTGCGTACAATTCACCAACAATTTCGACAAGAGTAATAGATTTTTATAAAGAACAACACGAAAAGCAAACCGTATCCAGTGTAATTGAAAAACGAACAAAGTTTTCACCGCTTAACAATGCAAAATTGTGCGTTTGGGAAGCTTTGGAATTATTAAATACCTTGATTGACGACTCTGATCCTGATACGCAACTTTCCCAAATCGAACATTGTTTACAGACCGCCGAATCCCTAAGAAAGGATGGTCAACCTAGATGGTTAATTTTAACTGGTAAAGTTTGCCTGATGCTCGTGTCACCGTGAAACAATGTTACGTGATTAATATTTCTTTTTGATTTTAGGATTGATACACGATTTAGGTAAACTCTTGTTTTTCTATGGAGCCGAAGGACAATGGGATGTGGTTGGAGGTAATTTCATTGTTCCAAACATTTTTCCATGAAAAAAAAATAGACAGTCTAACTTTATGTCATATGCCTTGCGTTCATAGACACATTTCCTGTTGGATGCAGATTCTCTCCATCGATAATTTTTCCAGAGTTCTTCAAGAATAATCCTGATTATACCAATCCGAAATATAACACATTATACGGGATATACGAACCAAATTGTGGCTTAGATAATGTGCTTATGTCTTATGGTCACGACGAATACATGTATCAAGTTGTAAAAGTAAGAATTTTAAATTCAGCGTTTTTTTTCGTACATGGACTAAATAAATAAATGACCTCACGCGAATTAAAAAAAAAAAAAAAAATAGAATTATTTACCAGCCGAAGCCAGTTATATAATTAGGTATCACTCATTTTACGCACAACATCGTGAAAATGCTTATACCCATTTGATGAATGAAACCGATCATGAAATGATGAAATGGGTTAAAATCTTTAACCCTTTTGACTTGTACTCGAAAAGTGATCAACCCCCTAACATTCATGAATTAAAACCTTACTACCTTGAATTGATTCGTGAATATTTCCCTGAAAAAATTTGTTGGTAAAATGATAATTGGGAAAAATAAAAATAGAATATTTAATAAATCAAATCCGATTTAATATGTATTACATTTTAAGTTTTTTTTTTTTTAATGATACCGTATTTATTTATTGAGTCTTCCGATTCTTCTTCAATCAATAAAATATGATTGGTTTGTCATCATTATTTATCAATTTATTCCAAGATCTAACTAATTTGATAATGTTCACTTGTAGAAATTTCGTAATTTCGGCAGTCATGATTTTTGTGAATCATTTTTGAAAGAAATTTCTTCATATATCTAACTAGATTCTCTTCTAGGCTCAAAATTGACATAACGCGAATAGGTGACAAACCATTTTTTTTTTAAGTTACACCGTTTAGTATACTTTATATGTCACATGACCAGTGTTTCATAAAGTTTTTTTTTTTTTAAAAAAAAAATATATACATGTATATATATATATATGTGACGGAGTCAAAAGTCAAATAACCTCACGGGATAGGCTTGAAGAAGTTGATATGTCATTATCTAGTGATAAGTGATAATCCCCTTCCTCCCTCATTTCATCATTATTTCGTTTATATCAAGAACACCAAAATCTAGTGTAATTGAAAAGACGAATAAATATGCACAATTGTATGGAAAGAATTAATTGCTAAGCTAAATAATCTAAATACAATACATGCATGCATCGCGCATAGAATCTTATTTTCTTTGGTGCAGATTGACAATAGAGGAAACAGCATATACGCATAATATTATCTAAGCCACAATTCGGCCAATCTTTTGGTTTGTCTGATCAGGATTGTTCTTTGGAAAAATTATTGGTCTTTTCAACATCGAATGTTTCAAGAACTAAAACCTTAAAAAAATTTGTTGATAAGCAAGTGTAGGAAAAAAAAGGAAGGGAGAAAAAAGAAGAATGCCAGTTATTTCACCACCACCATCATCTCGCGCACTCATACATAACTTTCGTCTTTGTAACTGATTGGCGCAGTCGGCGCAGAAAGCTTACCTAATATCATTAATAAATTTATATATTTGTACAAGTATATCTTTTTATTGTACAATGAAAAAAATTTTTATTCAAATCAAATAAATAAAATCAACTTGAAACTTTGAATTCAAAATAATCATGTCAACTGAAATGAAGACGAACGCTTTCCAAGAACGAATTATATTAAACGTAGGGGGGATAAAATATGAAACATTTCGTTCAACGTTAATAGCTTATCCCGAAACATATTTAGGCACAATGTTTGCGGACAGGAATAGGGAATTATTACGTCCAACAAATGATAATGAATATTTTATAGATAGAGATGGGAAATTATTTAGGTATATTTTACAGTTTTATCGTACAGGGAAAATTCAATTTCCCCCTTCTAAAGATAATAAATATTCTAAAGAGGAAATTTATGTAGAAATCGATTTCTTTCAACTTCCCAACTTCTTGCATACCCAACAAGTAAATTTAACGTTATCACAAAGAGCACAAAATGCGTCGGCGAAAAAAGTAGATGCATTTGTAAATGCTTTAATAGAATGTATTAATGAAGCAATGGAATGCTTTGAAATTGCAATCCCATTTTCAATTCATCGTATAGTACCAAAAGATTATGAGACTTATTGGGATGAATATGAAAAGTTGGCTCCATTCGTCAGATATATTAGACCTTTTTGTAATGTAGGGTATTTTATTTTAGAAAGGTTCCATAAAGAAATTGGTAATTCTCTTAAAAAAGAACTTGGCACGGATTTAGGTTGGATAGTTGAGAAACATAACAATGATGTTGCAAAGATGGATTATTATAGGATTAATATCACTATACCCGAAGAATTCTATGATACGAAAAAAATCTTGCAGAATAGTAATTTTTTAGAATCTCTGCCTGAATGAACATTTTAATATAATTATTAGTTCTATGTTAAAATTTACAATCTTTTAATCTATAATTGTATGAGTAAAGTTTATTCCTGTTGGGGCATGATCATTACGCCAAATGCAGATTATTAGTTTTTTTTTTTCTTTTTTTTTATCGAATTTCCTAATTACTGGACTTTGAACTTTCTGACTCTGAAAAAAACTGACCCTGAAAAAAATTCTCTCGATTTTTGGCTCTCCCTGGTCTCTATCTGATTTCTACAGGATTTCGTATAAATTTTTTTTCTTGGCTGAGTGACTTTATTAATAAACTGACCATCATGACAATCATTCAGGCTAGTAACGTTTTGATTTGATAGCGGTCATTACCAAAGATACTCAATCACTCTCAAAAATCTTGGAAAATAAACTACGTGATATACGTTTTAAAGAAACACAGCTCAAAAGACGAATCCGATATAGATTAGGACCAAATAGAAACTTCCCAACCTACAAAACCATAAATGCCAATATGAAACATCATATCTAGCCTATTACGATTAATTCTATACTCCCTCAGAATCCCTTACAGGGATATATTTCTAGAGACAGTAATCCACGACTTAACCAAATATCCCAAGATCATTTTTTTCTTTCTTATATCATAAACTAAACATATTGTACTCAACAAAACTTTGGCTATAGCAATATCTGTTTCATCGCCTTACGAAAGTCCATTCATTTCACATTACACATTTACTGTATCTATCCAAGAAGTTTTCGTATATAAGAAATGACTAAAGAAATATTCTGAACTCCTAGATTTCATAAACCTTATAACCAATGCTATTTTTATAAATGAACCAAAAATTCAGTTCAATCCTAACAAAATAATAACTAGACAATTTGGAAAAATGCCATGTGTTATTGATTAAAACTCGACCAAAAACCAAAAAAAAAGAAAACTTTCCCTCCTTGTTCTTAGAATGTGTCTATTATTTATTTGGCTGAAATTCTTTGAACAATAATCAGTACAATCATCAACAATTTTAAGCTCGCCTGATCTAGGATAATAAAAGTAAGTAAACTGGTTTCATTTGAATCGTGTGAATATTTACTTAAAATGATCACCAGTTCGGATTTCAAACATGTTTTACGTTAATCAGCCCAAAACTTACAGATTTGGTGGTATTGTTAAAAAAATTCTCATTGGTTATCAAACTATAATGTCGATTTTATTTCCATTTTTGGAATGGACCCTTAAAACGTTCATTGTTTCTGTTGATGACCCCAAAATATTCTCTTGTTTCTAACTTTTGCTGCGGATCAAATTATGTAAATCCAATCTAAAAAGAACATATTATCATATGACGATCTGCAAGAAAAAAATAAACGTGATATAATATAAATAACACATTTGAATTTTAACTATTTATTGGCCGTCACATGTTTTTCTAGC